TTGTTCAGCTTCTAAAGGTAATGCCATAATGTGTGAAAGAGACTTGCATATTTGCTTTTTCCTCCTATGCGAATCTGCATGTTTGGTGCTTTGGCAGAGTTGAAATGGCAATTTTCTGTAATCATTTGACTTTGTTGTTTTCAAACTTTTTCTTCAAATAATTACACAATGCTGTACCTGTTGCTAAAATGCATTCATGGAACTTGCATTTCGAGATTAGTTTCATGGGACTTGCATATGGAATCTGCTGGTTGGCTTTAGATGTGATCTACTGTTTCAATTTTTTGGTTTTGCCAATTCATTGGGCAGTTATGTTCTTTTGCACCTTTAGAGTGCAATCCCTTAATTGTTGGCCTTTACTCACAGATCTTAGGTCTTTTAGGAGATAACAATATCTGTTTTTCTTCTATGCAGTTGCTATACCTTCATTTTCGTATTGGGATACTTACATTCTCATTGAAACTTCCAATATCTGATTTTCCTCTCAGAAATACATGGTTCGGAAAAAGATTGAAGAAATAAACTTTACATATATTGAGTGCTTGTTGTATGCATTTCACCATCTGGCTCATAAGGTAAGAATCAAGCTTTTGCGCCCTTCTTTTGTGCTGTGCTTTATATGCGTAGTCAAATGAATTTACATTCCGTTAATTTATTATTTTTACAGACTCCTAATGCAACAAATAGTCTTTGCGGCTATAAGATTGTAACTGGTCAACCATCAGACCGGTTGGGGGAGGACTTCTCAGAGCAGTATCGCGACTTTGCTGAGAGGTGCTATCTCCTTGTTTTTGCTTCTTTTAAATGTATGAAATTCTGACTTGTTCACCACAATTTCAAAGGGAGTGTTGGTGTTTTTGCTCTATATTACAGAAGATGATGGTTGGGTATATTGTGAACTCTGGCTCCTATAACTATCTGGGCTCGGATTTAGTATCGAACATTTATCTCAGTTACAACAATTGGGTTGTGCCTGTTATATCTTTCATCCAGTTCTTACCACTAGATATTGGTTTTGTTATAACCTAAGATTGGGCTAGGGTCACTCAACTGGGTTGTAATGCACATGGGTCTAACCACACTAAAAGATAGAATCCAACCAAAAAATATGTATAGAGCATTATGATCTACTACCAAAAAATATAGTAGTTATGGTGACCAGTGTTATTTATATTGCTTAGTATTTTTGCTAACCTCTGTTTTTAATTATGACCCAGATTGAGCACTACTGAGGATTTAGCAAGGGCAGTGAATAAGAAATTGACCCAAGGAATGGCAGAGCATAACAAAGCAATGGCTGCTGCTAAAACAGAAGAAGAAAAGGATGCTATTGTAGGCTTACTCTTTCCCTCACCTTGCTTGTGTCTACTATGAATAGTCTTGTTTCACTCTCCACTTATGTAGCTATTTGGCTTGAATTGCAGAAAAGAAAGAAACAGGAAGCTACCTCCAGTCTGCGAGCATGCAACAATATATTAACAATGTGCTCGGTAAGCTTTTCAACTATGTATTAGAATTAGCCTCTGTTTATGGGTTTGGTTACTTTTCTAGAACTGACATTTTGTTTTGTCTCAGCCACTGCATATAAAAACACCAAAATTTATTGGAGATCAAAAAATTAATTTGTCATGGAGAGAAGTTCCTAAGCCTTCCGGTCCACCAGTTTCTACTGTTGCTGGGTACTTGACAACCTTGCTGAAATGTAGCAATTAGTATTGTGAAAGATTAAGATTGACAATTATACCTAATAATGTGGTTCTCTATTGCAGTCAAAAACGGAGTGCCGCTACTAATGGATCAAGCTCTATTATGGCGAAGAAGGGCCGAGGAGGTGGTATGCAGAACCCATTGCTTAGCAAGGCATTTGAAGGTTTACATGATGGGGGAAGAGGTGGTGGAAGAGGAGGTAGAGGCTGGCACAATCGTGGTAGAGGCCGAGGCAGAGGTCGAGGGAGTTTTCACTAAATCTCTAAATTTAATTTAAGGTGTGGTAGTTCAATTTATAGAATTAATATTTTCTTTGTAAGTGTGCTAGATATTTTACTTGACATTTGAGCAGCTTAGGCTAACTAAATTAGCAAATCACTGATTAGAAAAAAAAATAATTCCATCTCTAAAACTTTAACAGCTTCCCTGCTTCCCCATTCTATTGTATTCTGGAATTTAAATTATGTACTTTATATGTATTCTATTGTTAGAGTCTGTCTCAAAAGCAGTACTTATTTAAGTAAAAATTTTCCTTTACTTTGTTGGGATTAAAAAAGGGATAATCGGATATACAACAATGGTTTCTTGGTTTGGCCATAGTATTAATATTATTTTTATATCAATTAATATTTGATGCATTCAGGGTAAACTACAATTAAGTTGGTTGATAACTATAAAATAACAAGTTTGATACGCATTTTTGAATAGTATTGTGAGTTTTATTCAAATTTTTTTTCTTATGCATAAAGACAAGAATAAATTAATATTTAAAATTTAAAACCCAAATAACTTTAAGGGGCCGTTTGGTTCACGAAACGTTAGATTACTTTAGGAAAAATTAGATTGCTGAGAATTTTAGATTCCTTTGTTTGGTTAAAATTGAGGTATGTAATATAATCATGTTTGGTTTAGGGTTATCTTTTATATATATATATATCCTTAACATATTTTCATATATTTTAATAAATTTAAAAATTAAATTAAATAAATAAGATAACGGTATCATATATAATTACATGATTTTAAAATATTAATTAAAATCTTGAACTTGAGAAGCAAAATTATTTTATATGCTAACATACCGTAATAACAAATATATAATATAATAATAATAATAATAATAATAATAATAATAATAATAATAATAATAATAAGCTAGCATAAAATATATATCTTTAAATAATTAGAATTAAAATGACAAAATTTATAAATATCTAAGGTTATCTTACATTACCTAACAAAATGAAGAGAATCATATTCCCTTCAAAATCTTATGTTGAGGAAATGTTGTATTCCTTGAAAATGTTATATTCTCTCAAAAAATATGAACCAAACATATGAATGTAAGCTCGGGAATGTCACATTTCATTGGTTATGTAATATAATGTAAGCTCGGGAATGTCACATTCCTTTGGTTATGTAATATAATCTGAACCAAACGTTCCCTCCCTAAGTGGGTGGAGTGTGCCCCAACGAACGCTTGTTGACTCCTTTATAATGTACCACCGCCAATCACCATTTCTTCATCCTCTTTCAGAGCAATCCTAGATAAGAGAAGCAACATAAATAAGTATTCAAAATAATTTGCCCGTTATAGCGAAGAGGTTTTGGAACGTTGTGAGGGCGGCTCTGTTCATGCTGCCACACTTGAAGTTGAGGACTTGGTGGAGGAGTTGATGTTGGATTCCAAGCTTCTGGAACTCAATACTCCTTCCTGCAATTTTTGTCAACTCAACTCCCTCTTTGCCAACGTGCCAAGATGGTGAAGTTACAGTTTTGCTTCCATCAGCAGTTAAAAGCCATGGATGAGAAGCTACTTGCTCTACAAACAGACAAATCAAAGTACGGTATAAAACTGAAGACAAATGATGGAAGAAATGAGTTACTGACGGGCAGTGGGAGTGGATAGAAGCAGTGGGGATTGACAAACAGGTTGAGGATATAGCAGAGCTGATTCAGAATAAGCGTAGAGAGCGGATGTTGGTGATCACGGTTTGGGGAGCCGGAGGTTGTGGGAAAACTACTTTGGCCAAGCAAGTTTATGAAAGAGTGAAGAATGATGGGAGCATCGATTATTGTTGGTGGGATGGGGTGTGTAAAAGTGTTGGAACCAAGCCTCCTGTTGAACTGGAGAAAGCAGATACAAATTCTCTCCACCAACACATTTGCAACTACTTGAAGGGGAAGAGGTATGTTGTATTTTTTGATGATGTTTGGGATCATACTCTCTTGGCTAAAATAAAACTTCCGGGCAACCGTGCATCTTCAATTATTGTCACTAGCCGTGATAAAAATATAGCCAATGGGTCTTTTCTTGGGGCTGCACCTCATTATGTTGAGGTGAAGCCATTAGAATTTGATTTGGCATGCACCCTTTTCTGCAAATTGGCTTTTTATTCTGGCAGCTGGCCTAATGGGCTTGAAGAACTTGGAAAAGCATTGGTTAAGAAATGCTCAGGTTTACCTGTTGCAATTCTTGCAATGGCTCGGTTGATGTCCACAAAAGGTGATCATCCATCAAAATGGTGGGATGCTCTCAAAACCCTTGACTACTACTCACACGAATTTGAAGCTGGTGGCAGTCTAGCATCTCTCAACAGAGCCTTGTTGTTGAGTTATTATGAACTGCCAACTCACCTCAAGTCATGTTTCTTATACTATGCAATGTTCCCCAAAACACATCGCATTCGTCCCCAAAGGTTGATCCGAATGTGCATTGCAGAGGGGTTTATCAATGATGATCCCCATAGTGGCACAACACTAGAGCACATAGCAAATGATTACTTCCTTCAGCTCAAAAATAGAAGCTTGCTTCAGATCGTTCCCAATGAGTACAATGGTAAAGAGTTGGGAAGAATTGAAATGCACGACCTTTACCGTGATGTGGCGTGTGAGGTGATTAAAAGGGAAATGTTTGCTGAAATCATCAAATTGGAGCAAAGTACCAAACTTGAGTGGAAGCAAAGGCGTAGTTTGATCATCCTCGAAGAGGGGCAAAAGGTTGAGCTTGACAATTGCTACGAAAATATGAAGAAGCTACGTACACTCATCACCAACGACTGTGAAGGGATTGCTCTGAATTCATTCCCTCAGATGTTCCAAAACATGAAGTTGCTCAGAGTTTTGGTGTTGAGATGGTTTCCTGGTGGTATGGAGGAACTGCCCAATGAGGTTGGGGATCTAATTCATCTTAGATACTTAGAGCTGTCCAGCAGTTATCATACAGTAAAGCATTTTCCTGATTTGTTGGGAAGATTGCACAATCTACCGACATTGGATTTAAGATATAATAGTGTAAATAGTTTGCCTGAATGCGTGTCAGAGCTTAAGCAGCTGAGACATCTCTTTGGAAGTTATAGATTAGAAGTGCCAGATATAGTATTCACATTTTCACAGCTTCAAACATTATCTGGCATTCTGATTGATACCATCCAAGCAAGAGAATTAGTTAACATTCCACAACTCACCAAATTGAAAATTATTTTCAGAAAAAGAGCGGAATGCTGGAGAGCAATTTGTGATTCTGTCAAAAAAATGACAAATCTTCGCTCTCTATCTATTCGAAGTCATAGATTAAAAGAATTTATAAATTTCTCACCACCCATTTTGTAACACCCCACTTTTCTAACTCTTAATCACAAATCTAAACCACAATTATCATAAGCTAAGCAGCGAAATTAACAACTAAAAGATAACTAGTGGGAATGTCACCGCCACAACCACCACTCCGTGGTGATTGCACAGGCTAAGGAGTAGAACTAGAAATAAAATAAATATCTAACATCCATAATAAATATAATACTGAAAATCATAAGGGGGAAAAAGTCACCCCAAAGTCTACATCATCAAACGTCTACAAATCATCACAAGTCTTGAATCCGAATAATAATATCATCAACAAAACATAAGAGTTTAGACATCTCAAACTACGAGACTAATCTAACTCGATCACTTCTCACTACTGGCCCACCTGAAAGGGGTTTTGCAAGCAACACATAGACAAATAGGAAAACACACGTTAACACGAAGCTAAGTATAACCACACTCAACCCTGTAAAGTACTATAGAATATACTTTGAAAACATTTGATTTCACTTGTATACAACAAACTCATCTCAAATACATCTTTAGATCTATCATATACTTTCTAGATGCTTGCAACCTATAGTATCAACAAACATGTTTCAAACATAAGACTTAACAACCTAGATACTTCAACATGTAAACTTCACAATAAACTTAACCAGCAACTCATGCTTACAAGTAATATCATGCTAATAAATTATATAATAGGTGTTCTCATGCTCTTAAATTCTCATCACATAAACTGAATATACAAGGCTTCAAATATAACTATACGATCATGCTTGACGTACAATCTTAAATCAACATTTTCATTATACAATCACCTACGATATTCTACTCAGATGCAATCTCGTGCAATACTATACTCATACTCATATGCAATCTCGTGCAATACTAACTCATACTCATATGCAATCTCGTGCAATACTATACTTATACTCATATGCAATCTCGTGCAATACTAACTCATACTCATATGCAATCTCGTGCAATATTATACTCATATGCAATCTCGTGCAATACTTTACTCATACTCATATGCAATCTCGTGCAATACTATTAACATACTCATATGCAATCTCGTGCAATACTATACTCATACTCGTATGCAATCTCGTGCAATACTATAGTCATATGCAATCTCGTGCAATACTATAAATATATATACTCATGAACACTCGTTGTAAAAATAGATTATGTTCTGTGGAGGTCTCTTTAAGTCATAAATGACTTGCTTTCTTTTCTCTTTAGTCACTCTTGACTCACTTTATTTTCTTCTCGCTCGTAGACGGCTCAGGGTTTCACCGTAGCGTGAATTGCCCCATCGGGAGCGGCGTATATCCGACCCAATATCTCCTACCGTCTACGGAACCAATCTCGTGGTTCTCGCGCTGTGGAATCAGGTATTGAACTATCAATGTGCACACCCCCTGACCAGGATTCCAAGCTTGGCGGGCAATTTCCAACCTCGTAACGTGGGAATACGCCGCATTACATATACTGGGACCGCAATGTCCATAAATATCTCCCGAGAGGACATAGTCCAAATGATATCCTCCAAAACCTCACCAATATAGATAATACATAAATATATCTCTCATGCATCAATCTCATGCATGCAACAACTTCTCAACTTCTCAATGCATCAAATAATGATGTACCACATGCTTATGGATTTTTTTTAAAGTAATACTTGGGCTCACGTTGGCCCTTATGCATTCTTGAAATATGACATATGTGAGATGCAAAATACTCTATAACATGCTTCCAAACCATGTATATAAACCATAAAATAGTCAAGGATATAATAACATACTCGGTTTGCAACATAGCAAATTCTATACATTTCTATCAACAAAATATGCTTCAATTCTCATTAATCAAATATCACATTTTAGTCATGTTTTCATAATACATCATATTCTCAAAGTGATCATGCTTCTCTACATACAAATATAACATCGGACACAAAGCAAAGTATTTCTCAAACTCTGTGAACTTCTCAACATACTTTGCATACTTCCACGATCAATAGACTATAATCTCTTGAGACATAAAATATACTTGAATCATGTTTTTTTAACAACTTAATCACTTAGTGATCATGCTTCTCCATTTACCACTCAAATAATATCAGGAAAATCAAATAAGCAGTATAAATCTAATACAACTCACTTGCATTGATTGTAATATTGTATATGTAGCCATGCAGGTATCCCTGCCAAATTGAAGAGCATCTACGTACGGATAAGATAGCCTTTAAAGTTGATATATAATTGGATACCTGCACTATGCCAACCGCCAACGTACACCCTTAGTCCCTTATCCTCAAATTCATTATTAAAAAAAAAAGAAAAAGAATTACATACACACTGTTTAACCATTTTTTTTTTAAAAAAGAAGTATATAATTTGTTACTATAGTATGGGCATGGTAGCTGTACGTCGTCCCTTATATGGTGGTTCTCATACCAAACCAATTCAAACCAATTAAAGAAAATGGCATCCTTATCATCGCTGTCGCTGTGGCCGTCACTAGCAGCTAAACCATTTTTCTTTTCACTACCACAAAGCTGCAGCCCTTTACTTAGGCAAACGCAAACCCCCACAACAAAACTACTAGGACAAAATGGATTCTTTAATTGCAAGGAGGAAAAATATAAAAGGTTATCACCCATTGTGTGCTTTTGCCCCGCTTCTGATGACGGAGAAGACACACCACAAGCGGCAAAGAATCAGAAGAGGGTTCAGTTTTGGAGGAGAATGGCAAAATCTTTGGAAGTGGCGCCTGGTTCGCAGATGGTGAAGGTGGTACTGTTTCCGTTGGCACATTGCCTTTGTCTGTTTGCCCCGTTTTGTTTCAGTTGGGATGCTTTTGGCGTTGCGTTTGGGTTGTACATTGTCACTGGACTGGGTATTAGTCTCTCTTATCATAGGAATCTGAGTCACAGAAGTTTCAAGCTTCCCAAATGGCTCGAGTATTTTTTTGCCTATTGCGGTGTTCATGCTCTTCAGGTCTCATCTTATTAAGTAACTATTAGCTAGGTAGACTATGAAATTATGAATACGGTAACACTATATTTTTACAACATAACTTTTATATATGCTTTAGAGAGATCCAATTGGGTGGGTGAGTAACCATAGATATCACCATCAGTATGCAGATGCAAAAGATCTCCACAGTCCTATTGAAGGATTTTGGTACAGTCATGTAGGTTGGTTATATGACACCAAAGCTGCTATTGAAAGGGTAATGTGTATACTATTCAAATTCTCTTACATGCATTTAATTAATTACAGAGTTACTTTGTTTGGTGTGTTTTCATTGATTTTTTTTTTTGTTTTTTGTTTTTTTGTTTTTTGTTTTTGGCAGAGTGAAAGACCAACAAATGTAGGGGATTTAGAGAACCAATTCTTTTACAACTTCATTCATAATACCTACATTATTCACCATATTATCCTTGTGACATTGCTATATGCCATAGGTGGATTTCCGTATGTAGTTTGGGGCATGGTATGCATTATTTAATTTTCAATTCACTAGCTTATTCATTGTTTTATGGGGCCGTCTTTACTTGTTCCTTTTTCATGCGTACATTATTTATCCATAAAATGTTCATTATTCTAACACGGGCACGGAACAAGTAATTTTTTAAAAATCAAAACAACGTCGTTTTGAACCGTGGTCCAAACAATAATTTGCCTGATTGATTGGTGGAATATTTACTTTTTAAAAACTTATTAATATTCTTCTTCTCAGGTAGTAGGAATTATATTTCTTTCACACGTAACATATTCAGTGAATTCTGTGTGTCACCTATGGGGAAATCGAGCATGGAATAGTGGTGATCAATCTAGAAATAATTGGTATGCTAAAATCTTTAATGTCTTACCATTTTTGTTGATAGTTGTTTCCTATATATTCATACTATTTAATTTAATATAATCCTATGAAGTTTGGAAATAAACTTTTGTCAGGTTATTGGCATTGCCTTCATTTGGAGAGGGCTGGCATAACAATCACCATGCCTTTGAGTATTCAGCTCGACATGGCCTAGAATGGTGGCAACTTGACATAACTTGGTATGTTGTGAGGGCACTACAAGCTTTTGGTTTAGCAACTCATGTTAAGTTGCCTACTCATGCTCAAAAGAGAAAAATGGCTTCAACTACAACTTAATATATGCTTTTGACTTACTTGAAAGCACGTACGTACACAACCTGAAATATATCTGCATGGGATATGAAATGTGAGGATGGAATATAATGCGCCTACTCATGCTCAAAAGAGTTTGTCTAAATGCGTGCCAGAGCTTAAGCAACTGAGATATCTGTTTGGAGGTTATAGTATATTACAAGTGGTTGATATAGTATTCACATTTTCTCAGCTTCAAACATTATTTGGCATACTTATTAATACCATCCAAGCAAGAGAATTAGTAAACATCCCACAACTCACTAAGTTGAATATTATTTTCAAGGAAGGGGAGGAATGCTGGAGAGCAATTGGTGATTCTATAAAAAAAAAAATGACAAATCTTCATGTACTCTCTATATATTCAAAGTGATAAATTACAAGAATTTATAAATTTCTCGCAACCCAGCTTCTGCTTTTTGGGTTTCGGAATTTGGCAAATTTTATTGTCATGGTTGTCTTGTTGATTTTTTATTTTTATTTTTATTTTTGTGTGTGTTTAAATAATCAATTTTTATCTTTTTGTATCTGTATGTTATTCCATTAGTTCTATGAGCTCATGTCTCATTAATATATAAATCGCACTTATTATCATAAAAAAATTATAA